TCAGAGAAGGGAAACCATAATAAACCTGTGTGGAAGGGGAGACTGCGGCACGCCAACTCATGGCATTGATGAATATCTGTATTGAGTTATCACGAGTGGGAAAAGCACAATAGTTAACAATGCTGCACAGATACAAAGAAAGGTTTTCTAGCGAGAAGTCACACTTCCTGACTTTTGAGATCACTAGGCTGATCTTCAAGGTGTTAAAAAGTACACAGAACTGTGCAATAACACATGTGGGTATGACTGTGGTGCAACACTTGAATGTTTGAAATGCAAAACAGAATTATACTCAGGAACAGGAGCTGGTACATTGTCCTCTCCACATTGAGGGAGGGGCAGACTGGATAATAAACTTACACTGGTCAGGCTTCTGACCATGGCATGATGATACACCTCTGGGGTCCTAGGCTGGAGAACCAGGGTAAATTGGCAGGAGCCTCTCTTGTTGGTTCATGAGTGGCTCGTGAAAGCAGTCATGTAACTGCAGCTGGGTGTGTCCCTGTCCGTGTATGGCTGTGTAAGTGCAAGAGCTGGAGATGATTGCAGCATGTCACAGCATCACAGTGTGAGATGGATCCCAGATTGATATGCCAGAGTGGTCAGTGGTACCCCAGTTCAAGTTGCACCCCAGGGAAAATCCATTACATCCACCCAAAGAACAGGCCAAGCTACAGCATGAGTCCATTTCCTTCTTTTCATGTGCTCAGTTACTGACGAAGAGATGGTTGCTACAGGAGGCAATTCAGGACTCCTGGGTTCTGTCTGTCATTTTCTGTGTGACCTTGGCAAGGTCACATCTCCTTTGCCTCAGTTTACCTATCTGTGTAATGGGGTTATGTTCATAGTGACTTTCTTTTGCTAAGTATTTTGAAGATCTTTCAGTGAAAGGTGCTGCATGGTATGGTGATAGTTACTGATGGGAATGACTGGTCTCTGAGCCCTTTGGGACAGCCCCGTGTGCCTGCAGAAAGTGCTCGTGTCTCCCCTCAGGCATCTTTCTCATAAGAACATAAGAGCGGCCATACTGAGTCAGACCAAAGGTCCATCTAGACCAGTATCCTGTCTTCCGACAGTGGCCAATGCCAGGTGTCCCAGAGGGAAAGAACAGAACAGGTAATCACCAAGCAATCCATCCCCCGTCGCCCATTCCTAGGTTCTGGCAAGGAGAGACTGGGAACACCATCCCAGTCCGTCCTGGCTAATAGCGAGGGATGGACCTATCCTCCATGAACTTATCTAGTTCTTTTTGGAACCAGATCTCCAGATCTGATTTAGAGATTAAGAAGAATTACAAGGAGGAGAGCAGAATATCCTACATCTGCCTAGTTACTCACACCTTAATCTGAAGCATCCGGAACCAGAGCCAGGATCCTGGGCTAGGTGCACATCCATGCATATTTAGGAACCCAAAGCGTCCTGACTATCACAGGTGCTGAGCATCCACAAGGCCATAGAATCATAGGAGATTAGGGTTGGAAGAGACCTAGGTATTATCCTTAATTCTCTTACTCATACACTATAATTGTTAAATATACACAAATTCACAGAGCAGCCAATTCCTCTCTGACTCAGCACAGAGCCCAAGAGCTCTCATCTTCCTTTGGGAAGGTTCCTTAATTACTGTTTACTCCTAAAGCTGGATAAAGAGCACAGAAGCACAGACATGGAAAGAAAGACATTGGCTATTGTGTCTCCAGTGTCCAGCCTGTTTACATTCAGATGCCGCTTCGTCCCTAGAGGCTGAGCGAATTACCCTGGGATTGCACAGAGCTCTGTTATAAACAGTGCACACCACTGTATCGACTCTCAGCATGAGATGTTGCTGCTGATGCTGGGTGAGAGAGGTGTGGGACACGGCTGCCTAAGTGGGATTCCCAGGGAAGACACATCCATCACAGAATTCACAGGTACCCATCTGTCACTGAAGAGCTCACCTGCTCGACAAGCCTGGTGCAACAACATGCGCACGGTGGGATAGAGAATAGGTCTGTGGTCCTTTCTGCTCTGCAGAGCCATTAAACATCCCAGGGCACTTTTCACAGGTAATGAGTTTGCTCCAATATCATGGGCCAAAATGTCCCTTTTTGCTGATGGCCTCTAGTCTGAAGGCAGCTGCATTTCAGTGGCACAGTGAATCCTTGAGGATGAAAGGTGTTACTAGATGTACAATACAAAATTCTGAGGCCCAGGCCCATAGTTTAATCAGGCCCCTTTGAGGCTAAACTTTTCTTGGAGAAAGAACTGAATAAAAACCTCAGTAGCCACCTGTGTGTTCATGCACAGAGTCTGTCACCTCCTCCTCTTGCATCTCAGAGCTCTGGCTGTTTATGGCGGGGGGGAGGGGTCGCAAGGGGAGGCTATTTCCTGACTTTTATCTGCTGGAAAGCATGGAGGTTCTAATGGTCCTCACTGGAAAAAATATAAGAATTTTTCCACATGGGCAAGACATCTTCGAGAAGGCGGCTGAACTGTTAGGTCTTAAACTTTGAAAATACATTTCACCTGGAAGCAGACACCCAGCATGGGAAATTTCAGTCCAAATGGTAAAAGTTTGGTAAACTTATAAGCAACTGAAAATGAGGTCTCCTAATTGAAGGTGTCAGACAGCCTTAACTAGTGGTGGTGCCACCCATGCCACCTGCAATGGCCAATCCATTTGTAAATCCCATGCAGCTAAACTCTTCGCTCCAATAATGTCTGTGGTAAGGAGTTCCATAGCCCAAATATGGATTATGTAAACAATTTTCTCTAATCAGTGTTATATGTTCAGACTTTCAATATAATTGAATGTTCCCTTGTCCGTGTGTTGTGAGACACAGTAAATATAAATGCCTGATCTACTTTCTTTATTGACAAAAACAACTAGGATTACTTGTGGCACCTTAGGGACTAACAAATTTATTTGGGCATAAGCTTTCGTGGGCTAAAACCTACTTCATCAGATGCATGGAGTGGAAAATACAGTAGGCAGGTACATACACAGTGCATGAAAAGATGGGAATTGCCTTACCAAGTGTGGGGTCAGTGCTAACGAGACAATTCAATTAAAGTGGAAGTGGGTTATTTTCAACAGTAGAATACCAGGGGAGGAAATATCATTTTTGTAGTGGTAATGAGGCCAATGTAATCAGGGTGGCTCATTTCAAACAGTTGACAAGAAGGTGTGAGTAACAGTAGGGGGAAATTAATATAGGGAAATTAGTTTTTGTAGTGACCCATCCTCTCCCAGTCTTTATTCCGGCCTAATTTGATGGTGTCCAGTTTGCAAATTAATTCCAGCTCTGCAGTTTCTTGTTGGAGTCTGTTTTTGAAGTTTTTTGGTTGAAGAATTGCCACTTTTAAGTCTGTTATTGAGTGTTCAGGGAGACTGAAGTGTTCTCCGACTGGTTTTTGAATGTTATAATTCTTGACGTCTCATTTGTGTCCATTTATTCTTTTGCGTAGAGACTATCTGGTTTGGCCAATGTATATGGCACAGGGGCATTGCTGGCACATATCACATTGGTAGATGTGCAGGTGAACAAGCCCCTGATGGTGTGGCTGATGTGGTTAGGTCCTGTGATGGTGTCCCTTGAATAGATATGCGGAGAGAGTTGGCAATGCGGTTTGTTGCAGGGATCGGTTCCTGGGTTAGTGTTTGTGTTGTGTGGTGTGTCGTTGCTGGTAAGTATTTGTTTCAGGTTGGGGGGCTGTCTGTAAGCGAGGCCTGGCCTGTCTCCCAAGGTCTGTGAGAGTGAGGGATCATCTTTCAGGATAGGTTGTATATCCTTGATGATGCGCTGGAGAGGTTTTAGTTGGGGGCTATAGGTGACAGCTAGTGGTGTTCTGTTACTCTCTTTGTTGGGCCTTTCTTGTAGTAGGGCACTTCTGGGTAGCCTTCTGGTTCTGTCAATCTGTTTCTTCACGTCACCAGGTGTGTATTGTAGTTAACTGTACACGTTTTTAGTAAAAGTTGTCCACTTTCTTGACTGTGGAATTGTGGAATTCTAGTTATGTAATAAACTCTTCCAATAGAATCCCCATCTTTCCTTCCAAGTTTTCTGTCAAATTTTTTCCTCCCAATCAGTTAGCTTCAGCTTTGGGGAATTAGAATCTTTGAAGCACTAAGTGTCTATAGATATTACTGGTTGGGAACTGTTCTCTGTTTGTCCATTTGAAAGTTATCAGATCCATTGTTTATTTTCCTCTCCTCTATCATATACTCCCTTATTTGTCTTTTCTCTAAACAGTCCCAGACTTTTCAGTCTGTCCACATCCCACAGCCTCCCCCATTCTCATAGCCTGTCTCGGAAATCCACTTTCTATCTGCTATATCCTTTATAGAGACTGAGTGACCACAACTGAGAGCGTGTTCAGAGCAGCCTATTCTCAATCCCATTTCTTAGGTATGCGAACATTGTCTCGCTTTTGGCCACTACTGCAAATGAACAAATGTTTCCGTGGAGCTTCTATTAATGACGCCCAGGTCTTTTCCCTGAGGTGTGTTCTAGCTGGGATGTTTCCCCTGGTACATGTCTTGGCAAAGCTTTGGTTTTTTCCACTCTCAGATTTTGAGCAATGGGCTGAATAGGGAACTCCCTACAGCATGAGTTCTCTAGCCTGGGATTCATTGCATTAAGGAATAATTATGCATAACCAGTATCCACACTCCGGTTTCCTGCTGGTGCCTATCAAGGATTCCCTCACCACGATGTGTAAGAATTACTGACAAATGGAGGACCATAAAATATGGAATTGGCATTAGTAGGGTCAGTGTTTCATAATTCATTTATCTGAATAATGAAAATGTCATTTTCAGTGTGAGAAGAGCGATGAATCTTCTTCAACCATGACAACAGCCACCAGTAGTGCATGTAGTCTCTCATATTAACATTGTTTCTCCACCCAGGCATTACCATCACCCTAGAGCCTGGGCACATACACAAAGTCTGATGAACGTACGGTACGTGCAGGAGACACTGTTCTACCTCAGTGTTGGACACCTTCTCCCCTACTCTATGTCAGATTCCAACACAACCGACTTCACCAACCCCTCCACCTTCATCCTGCTGGGCATTCCTGGCCTGGAGGCGGCCCATGTCTGGATCTCCATCCCCTTCTGCACCATGTACATCATAGCCATCTTGGGGAACTTCACCATCCTGTCCATCGTAAAGACGGAGCCAAGCCTCCATGTGCCCATGTACTATTTCCTGTGCATGCTGGCCATCACCGACCTGGTCCTGTCTACATCCATCCTGCCCAAAACGCTGAGCATTTTCTGGTTTAATTCCAGGGAAATAGATTTCAGTGCCTGCCTCACCCAGATGTACTTCCTTCACTGCTTTTTAGTGATGGAGTCTGGGATCTTCGTGGCCATGGCTTTGGATCGCTATGTGGCCATCTGCCACCCCCTGAGACATTCTACCATCCTGACAAACCCCGTGGTGGCCAACATCGGTGTGGCCGTAGTCCTGCGTGGTGGCATGATCATACTGCCCTCTTTCCTCCTGGCAAGGCAATGGCCATATTGCAGAATCAACATCATTCCCCACACGCACTGTGAACACATGGCTGTGTTGAAGCTGGCCTGCGCTGACACCCGTGTCAGTAGTTACTACGGCATCTTTGTGTTATTCTTTGCGATGGGTCTGGATGTGATTTTTATCGCCGTGTCCTATACCCAGATCCTCAGGGCCATCTTCAGCCTCCCCACAAAGGACGCCCGGCTCAAGACTTTTGGGACCTGCGGCTCCCACCTCTGCGCCATCTTATCCTTTTACATCCCAGCTCTCTTCTCCTTCCTCACGTACCGTTTTGGCCACAATGTGCCCCTACATTTCCATGTTCTCATTGGCAACGTGTACCTCCTGGTGCCCCCCATGATAAACCCTATTATCTATGGTGTGAGGACCAAACAGATCCGGAACAGGCTTCTCCGGTTCATTATACATAAAGGGACTACATTTTTCTCTTGGTGCTCTGGCTCTCGGACCAAGTTCCGTGAAGATCTGGGTGGTGAGTTGGTGCTGGGTCCACTTCCCTGAATCATTTACTGATCAGTGAAATACATTAAATAATTTCCTGACCTTATTCTGCTTTGTCAGCGTGACAAACTGGGGAATCGGTCTCTGTACAACTCATTAACTCATAGGGTTGCCTCCTTTGTAATTTCTGGTAACTGGACCCCTGATGTCCTGCCCCCTGCCCTGCCTCTCCCTCCAATGCCCAGCTTCTGCTCCACATCTCATCTCAAAGCTCCACCCACTTCTGCGCTTTTCCCCGCAAGGCGCTGACCCTCTCGCTTGCTCCTCTTCTCCACCCATCACTAGCTGAATCTCCCAAACCTGCTGAGTTCCCTCTGCTCTGGGGCTGAGACAGGATCTGCTGCAGCCCGACAAGGATCCTGCAGTGAGTGCAGCAGCAAGCATCCAGTGCTGGGGCCAACAGGCCAGTCAGGAGTGGAGAGGGATACCAGGAAATCATGTAAAAGCAGCTGAGAGTTGGGAGCAGGGTTGAATGGCAGGTGGGTGAGATTGTGCGTCATACAGCTTCCGGGCCCTAAGACTTGGCTACAAAGTCCTGAGGGAAGAGACCATTGTGTGCCTTATTTCTTTAGCTTTCCGACCCCTTTTGTTACTCCCGGCTGGGAGCCTGTAGGAGGCAGGATCTATGCAATGATTATGGGCTGGGACCCCTTTGCCCTGAGCCAGGCATTGGGGGCCAGGCAAGGGATCAGCTTTGAAGCTAGGTGGATAACAGCTGAGAGAGGTGGAAGGATAAGCCGCTGTGTTAGCTGGGAAGGCAGGATGCTGGGCAGAGGCCGGGGTGGTGTTGGTAGCTCACAGGGAGGGAGATAAACAGCACATCTACCGTTAGCCGGCTATTTACACAAATACACAGCACCTTATCTGGAACTACAGGGCACCCGTTGCCCAGGGGCTGAAGCTGAACTGTGAAGCTGAGTCTAACATTCGCTCTGAGTGACATTTTGATCACTACATCTAGAAGCTCTTTATCTAGGCTGCTAGCAGTATTATCCCCATGTCATGGACGGACTGAGCCACGCAGTGGCAAAGTGATTTACTTAAGGCCACACAATGAGTAGGTGGTAGGGCTGAGAATAGGGACCAGGAGTCCTGACCCCCCAACACCACTGCTCTGGCCATGAACTGGCATTGGTCCTCTGATGCCAGTGCATCATAACTTCAGACACAAAGATGATACATGCCTATAAACAGGATAGTCATACCTAGGAAATCATAACTTTCCCATTGACACTTGACAGGACATTTTGTGCAGGATTTGTTACAATTGCATAACTGTAGTAGCAACAACGATTTCTTAGGAATGTGTATTTCTGCAATATAGGCCCTGTTCTTCCCAGATTCTGTGAGCAGGCCCTGCCTCATACCAGGCCTCTGATACAGGGGCTTATGTCTCTGGCTCTCTTCCTACTACAGCCACCACTATGCCAATCCTTGGGTCGTCTGCCAATTTTATCTACTGTGATTTTCTATTTCATTCCATGTCATTGATAAAAGTATTGAATAGCATCAGGCCTAGAACTGATCCCTGCAGAACCCCACTGGAAACACCCGCATTCCCTGACAATGGTCTACTGACAACTGCATTGTGAGATTGTAGCAGGGTGGACACGTGCTCCGGCCTGGAAGGGCCTGAGATAGCCCAGGGAGTAGGCAGTGTGAAGGCTGAGCTGATTGGGGGAAGTGGCTGCAGCTGGGGCCACGCCCCAAACAGCCTCAGCAGGCCTATCTAAGAGGCTAGGAGCCAGGAGCTCAAGAGTCTCTCTCTGCCTTCAGAGAGAGAAGGGCCTGGCTGCAGGGAGCTAGACATAGAGTACCTGGGTGGAGCAGGGCTGGGGAAAGGCTGAGGAGCTGGGGAGCTCCAGCCTGGATAGCCCCAGGCTGCGGCCTAGCAGAAGGCCAAGGGGTACTGGGGGTTGCAGAGGGCAACCCAGGGCTAGGCCAAGGCAGCAGGTCCAAACCCTCCTTGCCGGTGATGAGTGGCCTATACTGCAGTCTGCCCCAGGGAGCGGGGGCTAGTTGGTGACTGGCAGTGGCCTAGTGCTGAGGCAAGGTAGGGATAGTGGGTGGGGGTTCCCCAGGGAGGGGAGACCCAGATCTGTGTGGGTATTGCCAGGGGGCAGCACCCAGAGCAAGGGGCACTGGGGTCCTGGGAGGGACACGGGGCCAGTACAGAAGGGGACAAGGCAGATCACCGGCCTGCAGAGGACACTCCAGAGGCTGGTGAGCTAATTCCCTGGACGACCAGCAGGAGGCGCCGCAGGGGTGAGTCCGGACCCTCCTACAGAGATCTATCAATTAGCCAGTTTTTAGCCCATTTAACATGTGTTCTACTGATACTGTACAGTGTTCGTTTTTTTTATCTGAATGTTTTCCCGTACTATGTTTAAGACAGTACTGTCCTGTATTTGCTTTTTATTTGGCTCTGCTGCTTCCTGATTGCATACTTGTGGTTCTGAAGAAGAAGTGTGGTTGATCGGTCACTTCATAACTCTAAGATTCTACTGTAGATGCTGTTTAACACCCTTCTTGACTGATCATAGATTGGAAAGTATTTCATTGCGTCAAGTGCGCTGAGTACCTCACACTGCTTCTTTCCACACGCAGAACAAAAATATTTCTCGAACATATTTACCTTTTCTGCAACATTAACAAGTTTACTTTCTCCCTCTAGTAATTGGCCTAAACATTTAACAGGATGTATTTTTTTTCTTAATATACTTAATAACATCCTTTTTTTATCCTTAACCCTTCCAAGCACAGATTTTTTCCTGATACCTTTCACGTTCCTTATCAATTTTCATAAATTCCAATTTGTATTACTTGTTGTCTATTTCCCCTTTCCCCCCATATGTTATATATTGCTTCTCCGTTGCTGCCTTCCCTTTGCCAGTAAGCCAATTTTTTAGATAAAGCTTTCCACCTCCTTAACTGTGGAATTGTGGCTTTTTGCTATCTAATAAACTCTTCTTAAAGAACTCCTAAGTTTCATTCCCATTTTTTTTGTCCTAAATTTTCCTACCAATGAGTTTTGTTGGTAATTTGCCTCAGATTTGAGGAATTAGCTCTTTTGAAGCATTAAGTATCTATATCTATTCCTAGCTGGGAACTATTCTCTGTTTCTCCATTTGAATGTAATCCTTTCCATTCTTTTTCCACTCTCAGATTTTGAGCAATCGGGTGAATGGGGAACTCCCTACAGCATGGAATTTCTAGCCTGGGTTTCATTGCATTAAGGAACAATGATGGATAACCAGTATCCACACTCTTGTTTCCTGCTGGTACCTCTTAAGGTTATCCACACCACGACATGTAGGAATTATTGACACATGGAGCACCATCAATTCTGGAATTGGTATTAGTAGGGTCAGTTGTTCATAATTCATTTATCTAAATAATGAAAATGTCATTTTTAGTGTGTGAAGAGCCACCAATCTGCTTCACCCATGAGAACAGTCTCCAGTAGTGCATGTAGTGTCTCATATTAACATTGTCTCTCCATCCAGGCGTTTGTACTGCATCCATCCCCTAGAGCCTGGGCACATACAGGAAGTCAGGGGAACGTATGGTACATGCAGGAGACACCGTTCTGCAAAAGAGTTGGACACCTTCTCCCCTACTCCATGTCAGATTCCAACACAACCGACTTCACCAACCCCTCCACCTTCATCCTGCTGGGCATTCCTGGACTGGAGGCGGCCAATGTCTGCATCTTTTGCACCATGTATGCCATAGCCATTTTTGAGAACTTCACCATCCTGTCCATTGTGAAGATGGACCCAAGCCTCCATGGACCCATGTACTATTTCCTCTGCATGCTGGCCAGCAGCGACCTGGTCCTGTCCACATCCATCCTGCTCAAAACGCTGAGCATCTTCTTGTTCAATTCCAGGGAGATCGATTTCAGTGCCTGCCTCACCCAGCTGTACTTCATTCACTCATTCTCAGTGATGGAGTCTGGGATCTTCGTGACCATCGCTTTGGATCGCTATGTGGGCATCTGTGATCCCCTGAGCTATTCTGCCACCCTGACAAACCCCATGGTGGCCAAAATTGTCCCAGATGTAGTGCTACATGGTGGCATTCTCGTACTGCCCTATACCTTTCTGGCGAGGTGGTGGACATATTGCAGAACAAACATCATCCCCCACTCGTACTGCGAGCACAGGGCTGTGGTGAAGCTGGCCTGCATTGACACCCACATCAGTAGTTATTATGGTCTCTCGGTGGCAATTTGGGTGACTGGTCTGGATGTGATTTTTATCGCCGTGTCCTATATCCAGATCCTCAGGGCCATCTTCAGCCTCCCCACAAAGGGCGCCCGGCTCAAGAATTTTGGGACCTGCTGCTCCCAGCGCTGCACCATTTTAACCTTTTACATCCCAGTTATCTTCTCCTCCCTCACGTACCATTTTGGCCACAGTGTGGACCTGCAATTCTATGTTCTCATGGCCATTGTGTACCTCCTGGTGCCCCCCCATGCTAAACCCATCACCTACGGGCTAAGGACCAAACAGACCCGGGACAGGCTGCTCCAGCACTTTACTCAGACAGGGAATAATGTTTTTTCATAGACTCATAGACTCATAGACTTTAAGGTCAGAAGGGACCATTATGGTCATCTAGTCTGACCTCCTGCATGATGCAGGCCACAAAAGCTGACCCCCCCCCACTTTCCCTTAACTCAGCTGTTGAAGTCTCCAGATCGTGATTTAAAGACTTCAAGTCGCAGAGAATCCTCCAGCATGCGACCCCTGCCCTATGCTGCGGAGGAAGGCGAAAAACCTCCAGGGCCTCTGCCAATCTACTCTGGAGGAAAATTCCTTCCCGACCCCAAATATGGCGATCAGTAGAACCCCGAGCATACAGGCAAGATTCTCCAGCCAGACCCTCATTTTACCAGCGATGGCACGTTATTGCCTAATTGACTAAAATCACTTATCCCATCAAACCATTCCCTCCATAAACTTATCTAGCCTAATCTTGAATCCAGAGAGGTC